GCGGCAGCTGCTCGTGGCCGGCCGCGGCGCGAGGACGCGCAGGGGCCTTGGAACCGTGCTCGTTAGGCTACGGCGCCCCAGGCCCTGTGCGCTTCTCCATGTTCAGGGTCACCCCGTCCATGTCGTCTAACACCTGCTGAGGCTGTGACGCTGCTGTACTGAGTCTGCCACTGGGGCGGGCCGGTCTCCACGTCTGTGGTCGCGCCCCATGGATGCGGGGCCTGGTCCTCTGACCAGTCTGCTGGGTTCCGGGGTCTCGTTGGCGCGTGTCTTGAGGTCGTCAGACGTCTGCCTAGGAGTTCCCGTTTTTTCACGCTACTTTACTGGCTACTGTGTTCACTCTAGGCTTTGTTTACTGCTCATCAGAAACACAATCGCCACAGTACTTTGCCAGACGGTCAGTTCTTCGAGCCTCGGCAGGCTCTGCGGGAGCCGCTGTGTAGACAAGTGCGTCGTGCGCAAACAAGACAGCCGAGTCCCCAGCCCCGCGCTCCTCTCCCCGTCCCAGTCCTCCGTCAGCCATGCTCCTGGCTCCAGAGTTCCTCACCCGTGTTCTTTGCAGGCGGAGAAAGTCACTGTGTGCACGTGGCGTTCTTTGAGATGACACCAAGGAAGCAGGGTCGCGGCAGTGCAAGCCCACGAGGCTTATGTCTCGGTTTATACACTGCTGGATCTCACGTGGTATCAGGAACACTGGACGGCCGTCTGCTCTGTCCCGGGCTGGCACCAGGAGCCCTCCAATGTCATGTATCCATGTTAGTTGGAAACGCTTTCCAGCGTGCTTTGCGATCTTTTTCGACTCTTACTTATTTAGAAAACGTTGCTCGGTTTCCAGGCACTGAGGAGTTCTGTGGGTAGCCTGCTAGGTTTTTTGGGCTCGTTGTGATCAGAATACATACTTGCGAGGCCTTTCAATCTGCGAGTCCTCTTTCTCTGACCCCCGTATGTTTCGGCAAGTCACCCTGACCCCTGAAAGGACGTCGCTCTGTGGCTGAGCGGGGAGTTCTGCGTGTGTCAGGGACGCGACGGTGCTGCTCCCCTGTCTCCTCCCGCAGCTGCTGTCTCGTTCTGCCAGGTGCTGGAAGACGGTATTGAAGCCGGACTGTGGGTCTTCTACTTTTGCTCAGGGCCGCTCGCTTTCGTTTCGTTGGAGGCTCCATTAGTAGATGCTAACAAACTTAGGCGTGTTTTCTGAGCAAACTGCCTAACTGCTGCCGGCCTCTTCACGCCACCCTCCTTGCGAAGAGATCGACTTTGTCTGCTATTAATGCATCAGCCAGCACGTCCTTCTCCGTCCTGCCTTGGAACTGATCTGGGTATTCAGACTTAAAGTATCTTTCTTGATGCTCCTTTTAATTTCACAATCACTCAGTATCATTGTATCATTCAGTGTCTTAAGCCTCCTTTTTCTAGAGTTAAGATCGTTTCAATGGACTACAGGTAAGACCCCAGTGCTACTTGTTTCACAGTTACCTTTTACTCAGTATTCTGTTAAACGTCTCTTCTGGTTGGTTTTCTTCTCTCTTTACCGGTGCACTAAACTCTATACTCTCGTAAGCGGCCGCTGGCTTCCACTTGCACCTGGGCCTTACGACAAGCCATTTCCAACCCACCACTTTCTGTGCTTTTTCAGGTGACAAGCCTGCAAGTGCGCTGTTCATACAGTCACGTAGCAAATGACCTTTTAAAGAACTGTTTAACATAAGAGAAACACCCTTTTCTCAGACTTCCCACTTGGGATGTTTTCACTTTTCTTTTCTCCTGGTGGGTTTTAACATTTCTGAAGTGTTCACCCGCTGATGCTGAATTAGCTCAGCTCTGAAAAACTGCCCACTCACCGTGGCTTGTAGGTTGTAGATCTTCAGGTTACTGGTTTTTTCCCTCAGAGGTGAAACATCTTTCACGTATCAATTTTGCACTTCTCTGAACCACGTTTCCTGTCCGTATCTGTTACCACTGTGTCGCACAGATGGTCTTCACTCACTTTCCACATTTCCTCATGTGACCCCGCCCCCACGCTGGGTGGGGCTTGCTGAGTTCTGAACCATGTGAAAAGCATGCTGTCCATTATGGAAATATTTTGGTCCCCTTTCTCCCGCGATCACACTGCCTACATCAGCGTGTCCTGTGCAAACCCTGCTCCATGCGTCCCTGGCCGTACTCTGACACGGGAAACGGCCTGTGAGCGGTTCCTGGAAGTTCATCTCCAACGTCTGGGAGACCGTTGTAAGACCGTGTAAACATGGTTGGCTGATGGCCTGGCGCTCTGCTGGTGGCCATGGGCACGGAGTGCTGTTCAGATTCGGGTGGATTCAACATAAAGTCCATTCACTGGGTGGCGTCAGGCACACCGAGGCTCGGCCGGTGCGATCAGTGGCCGTTAGCGGATGGCAGGGGGAGAAACGACCCCCGCTGTGCAGAGGGCACTCTGGAGCGTCTGGTCTACGGTGTCCTTCCCGTGGGGGCAGCGCAGCATTTTGAGATCCGCACCTGCTCTTCAGGCCGCAAGCTGAACAGGGAGGCAACCGCAGAACACGTGTGTGCTGAACCGCCGTGAAGGGAGAATACTTAAATGGAGCAAGACTTTGCTGTTATCCGTGGACCCAGGGAGCTGAGCTGTGAAATCAAGCAGAGCAAGGAAGAACCTTCTGAGGTCGCTCGGAGAAGGTGACAGATCGAGTGGCAGGCTTCAGGGCGGCGTCCAGCAGCTCGGTCTCCCACAGACGGGAAGGTGGACGGCTGCTGCTTGGCACGTCTCCGCGCCACGCTGTGACCCCTGTGGTCACGGCAGACAGGGCCTGTGACTTCATGTACACACCACCTCTCGCTCAGGCATGGTGGCAGCCATCTAAGCTTCGCCTCCGACCTCGGTGGCCACGCGACGCCCACTGGCTAGTGCCCGCTCTGCGGCCATTCATGCGGTGACCCAGTGCTACGGAATGATGCAGACTCCTCTGGTGTTTTTAGTGGCTTCAAAATCTGGCAACTCCCGACTGAGAAATGCTAACAGACTCATGCGATGTGGTCAAATATGAATACTTAGAAGATGAGGTGTGTCTGAGGGTCCGTAACCACAAGCCAAAGAAGCTGGTCTATCCCTTTCCCCGCCGGTCGTCTGACCAACAGCACCTGAGCAAGGATGCATCCGGCGGGAAGGGGCGAGCCTCAGCTCTAGCAACATAGGCTGAATTCATCTTCTTAAAATTTACTGTGATGTTTCTCACCCAGAATGACCCTGCTGATTATTTTCCAGTGATACTGATGAGAATCCCCCCGCTACTTCATTTCTTTGAGGTAACTTCGGTCTGCAACAGCGAAGGTGAGCGGGGAGTCAGACTCACGGCTCCTCGGGCCTGGTAGCACACCACACGGCCCGGCACCAGCAACTGTCCCACCGAAGCCCGAGAGCCCCGCCGCCCCTCCCGCGTGGGGCTGGTGTGCTTGTTCCCGCATGGGTGAAGCCGCCGCTGCTTCTCTCTGCCGTCGCTTTCGCCGCTCAGCGTAACCCCTCTAGCTCCTCTGTGCTCTCCCGCCGCTGAGCAGCACTCCACTGCAGACACACCGCCCTGTCACCCGCGCCTCTGGCCCCGGGAGGCTTCCCTGGCGTGACTACCGTGAACAGTGCTGCAGTGAGCACAGGCGAGCACAGAGCCCTTTCAATTCCTTTTTCCTTTTATTTTCATAGTCAACTAGGAGTGGAGCGCTGGGTCATCGGTCCTTTGAGAAACCTGCAGGCCGGCTCCTCGGGGCTGGGCAGCGCGCCCCTGCGGGTGTGGGCGTCTCCACGCGCCAGCACTTGCTGCTTCCGGCCTGTCTGCCCCGGGCTGTCCCCTGCGCGGGGTCCATCCTCGCAGGGGTCGCCTCTGCCCGCGCCTGCAGCCACCTGCGTCCCCTTGCGAGAGGCGTCGGTGTGGCTGCTGTGCCCGTTGCCCGGACAGGCCGTCTTCCTGTTGCGTGTGAGAGTTCCCTGTAGATCCTGAGTATCAGCCCTGGCACACGTGTGCAGGGTGTGCGGGCAGTTTCTCCACAAAGCGCCCAAACACTGTCCCCGAAGAATCGCTGAAGCCAACGCTAGCGTTTGGCCTGTTTTCTTCGTGTGCATCTGTGGTTCCAGCTCTTTGGTCCAAGTCTTTTGAGACGGTGACCTAGTTTCCTTCTCTGGCAAGGGCTCTCCAGGCCGCGGGCACCACTTGCCGGAGAGACCCGCCCTGCGCCAGGGGTAGCTGTCTCCTCGGTGGGGTCGTTCCTGGGCTCTGAGCGTCCGTCTGCGGCCTGTGCCCTTTCAGCAGCCGCCGCCGTGGGCCCGGGCCCGGGGCCCGGCGTGCTCAGAGTTGTGTGCGCGCCCCCCGCGCCTCCCCCGTCTGCTCGAAACACCACTGCAACGCGGACGTGGCTCACAACGACGTGTGTCTCGCCCTGGGCACCATGGCCATCTTGACAGTGGCAATTTATAAGCCAGTCCATGACGAGGTTGCCGCCTTACGGCTCGTGTCTTTTAAGAGCCCTCTTAAGACTTTCCTGGCACAGGGCTGGTTCCCCCCCTTCACTACTGTTTCTGGGGCCCTGATTCTGTTTGAAGTGACTGTAAATGACACTGCTGCCTCAATCTGAACCAGATGACTGTGCCAGGACGTGCCACTTGCCATCTGACTGAGGGACAGTGCCCGGCCGTTACGTCCCACAAGCAGTGGCCAACTCGGGGTCCTCTTCTCCCCGTCTTCCCCAGTCGTCCGTGCTGGGGCTCCGGCACTGTGATGAACAGCAGTGGTGCAAGTGGACGCTTGTCGCTGCCCTCCGCCGAGCATGTTCTTACTGGGTCTCTGTCACGCGAGGTCTTTAGTATCCTGCACCTTCGCTCCCACTTTGGCCAGAGGCATTACAGAGCTGGGGCTGACGCTGCCGTCTGATGGCCGACAGGGCCACTTCTGGCTGCTTCTTGCCCTGGTGGCTGCCCGGGCTCGGATGCCTGTGTCGAGCCGCCTTCGCGTCCCCGAGGAAATCCCACTCGGTCAGGTGTGTGATGCTGCGGATGTGTCACTGGGTGCGGGCTGCTGAGATTCTGGTGGAGAGTTTTGCGTCTGTGTTCAGTGGGGATATCGGTTGATAGTTTTCTTTGTTTGTGATATTGCTGTCTCTTTTGGCATCAATGTGTTGAGAGGAAACCCTCCTTCAATTTCTGGAAGCGTCTGAGAAGGACAGGTATTGGTTCATTTGTGGAGTTTGAGAGAACTCATGAGTGAAACGACTGGGCTTTGTTTTGATTAAGGTGCCTTCTCTGGAACTGGCCTGTTTTCTGTTTCCTCCTCAACTGAACAGGGAAGGTTGCATGATAAGAATGCATTCAAGCTACTCAATTTACTGGCATAAAGACAGATACTCCTAGTATTCGCTTATGATCCGTTAGGTTGAGATGTTTGCTATAATCTCTCCTCTCACTCCAGGTCCTCTGATACAGCTTTCTCTTTTCTTCTTGGTGACTCTAGCTAGGGTCTGTTCCTTTTACAGAACCATTTACTCCTCTTGCCTTTCCAACTTCTGTCTGGTTGCTGTCCCCTGACACACGTGAGTCCCACTATTATTACAGTACTTAGCACTGTATTCACTTCCGGTGTGGATTTACTGGCTGCGTTTTGAGAATTCTGAGTCTACAGTTACAATCTGGATTTTTCTCCTGATTTTCCACTGAATAACACTACAAGCAGTGTCAAGCTCAGCTTGTTGAAATCAAACTTTTCGCCCTTCCCCCTCACATGCCTCAACTTCTTTTCCTCACCTCCCCCTGTTCTCTTCTGCTCGACCTCAAATCCAACCACTTAACCACATTCTGTGAGTCTCCCGCTCCTGCTCCATCACCACTACTGGCTCCTCCCGGCTGAGGGGCACCACACCCCTGGCCCCGTGACTGGTATCTTCCGCTTCCTTTGACTTACTGTCACTCATCTGAGTTACTTTTTGAAAAGGTCACCGGTCACCCAGCAGGCTACGTTAACAAATTAAATTCTTCCACTCTCCCCCACCCCCAACACACAATGAAAATACCCCAGGGATAACCTCTGACCTGTGGGAGAAAGGTAAGAGATCTTTGTATGACCCCCAAAGTCATCTGTGACCTCATTTCTCTACTGTTTTGGCTCAGAAACTCGTTCCTGCCCTACGCAGGAAGTGGTGTTTCATCCACCATCTGCTCTGCAGCGGGACTTCCTTAGACACCTCTGAGGCCGCGCGCGTGTGCATGTCTGAGGGGTTTTCCTTTCGTGCTTTCGTTGTTGGCGTCATAGAAACCGGGAAGATTTTGTAGTCTCTTGCCTCTGTGATGACTACTTCTAAAGTACTTGATGGGTGTAGCCTCAAACACACAAGGAAAAAGTGGTTTTGCTTGGTTCGTAAAGCCAGGACCAAAGTAAAGTAGGAGGATCTAGCAAAAGCAGACACATCCGGACACGAGCATATCAGCAGACCCATAATGCTGTGTAAACAAACTCCTGGCGACAAAGCTGGGGCTTAGAACCTACAGTTTGGGTGACAAAATCTGCTTCCAGGGACAAAATTATCCATTAGAATTAGGTTAGTAAATGGAACAGCTTGTGAGCCTTAAGGATCTCATCTTTATACATAGAAGGACTGAAAACTTGCTATTCTGGACTCTGTGATCCCCAGACAGCTGATCACGAACACGGCAGTGGCTATAGTAATCAGTGAAGAAAGCCGCGGCTGCTTCTGAACTACTTCTGGGAGTGGGGAGAAGGCCGCCGTCGGCTACTATTCAGTCACGGTCACTCTCGAAACTTACCTGGTTATTATAGGCGTCAGGCGCAAGTTTCTTGTATGTCGGCGCCATAAGAGTGGACAGGTTTTGTAAATGAGCCTCCAGTTTCTCCTCCTGTGTAAAATGAACAATTCTACATATTAAATTCTAAACCATCCTCTCCTTAAGAGCGAGGCTATCAGATTTTTTCCTCCCTGCACCTTGGCTCCAGATCACAATATATAGTGCCCGATTCAACGACTCCAACTACAGCATCTTAAAAAAAACATGATTATGTGCAAGTGAAAAGTATTGCCAACACATGACTTGCTTTCTGAGTGTGCTATTGGGACACCTAGCTCGCTCTTCCGTGTTTTCTGTGCTGCGGGCAGGTGTGTGGCATGTTATAAAGCTGCGCCGAGGGGAAGGTGCAGGACAGTCGTGTGGCCCAAAAGGAGCCACGTCTCTGCCTGCCTCTCTGCTGGCCAACAAGGATGACGAGCTGTGACGGCCCTTGTCTGGCTTCAAGTGTCCACTGCTGATCGTCAGCAGTTTGGATCACCTCTCCAAAGAGCGAGCTGCTGCTGGCTGGGCCGGCAGAGGGAGGAGCCCGAACTACAAGAGCGATCCCTCTGATGCGGAGAAGTCTGTCAGGGGACGGGAAGCGAGAAGGGTGTTCCGCCCTGCTCCCCTCAAACACGGCCTTCCAGGCCACACCCTTCGGCAAAGGGACAGTGCGCAGCCCGTGGCTGCTCTCACACTCCGGTGAGCTCTCACTCTGTGCGGCGCCCCTCTAGCATCTGGGGAGACAGCGCGGCCCGCAGAGCCGGGGTGCGTGTGGCCCGCGCAGAGCAGGGCGCTCCGGCCTGGCAGAGCCAGGCGGCAAAGGGCACGCAGGACGGCTGCTTCTCACTAGGGGGCTTCGCGTGTTTTCTGTGGAAAGAGGGCCTCTGGCACACTCTTCGTTTACTACTGAACATACGATCCCATGACAGTTTTTCATGATGTTTTCGAGAACCTCTGCACTTTATTAGTAAATTTTCAGGGACAGTGGAAGTCCGTTACACTGGATTTACGATCACAAGTAATCAAAAATTTCCCTTCAGAGGGACACGTCACTACTATAAATGTGCGTATTTCAGTGGCATTTAAAATGTGAAAAATAGCTTGTGATAATGTTACGGCAAAGACAAAAACCAGCGACTTAAATGAGAAACGAAGGTTCATTTGTCCCTATTACACTTTTACACTAAAATACAGATGTTTCCATCACTGAATCCACTTGCCATACTAACTTCACACCGTCAGCGCTCATGCAGCGTGGCTACAGATGGTCTTTTCTGAACGTAGTAGCCACGGACACGCTCTCTACAATCAGGTTCAAAAGGTGAGTGTCTGGAAGGGAAGTGTTTGTTTAGGACTAAGGCTGACGAGCCAGCCCTTCAAAACTCTGGGGTGACTGAGAGTACACAGGAGAGGCCACAGGTGTGAAGAGTTAAGTTGTGCCAAGTTTTGACTTGGGTATGGCGTGGTCATTACGCTGCCTTTTCATATAGCTCTAGGCTGTCTACAGTCCGCTGACAATGTGGTGGCTTCCCCCCTGAGATGAAATCCTGTCAGTGAGAGCTTAGCGGCGTGTGCCACACTGTTCCCGTCATCTGTGCTCATCAATTCTCCATGAAAAATATAGAGATTAGACATCAGGAAGTAAACAAACCTCTTTTGGGTCATCCCCAAGCAGCTTAAATTTTCTTGGGATCTTGCTTCTGGCAAACTTACATCCATTGTAGTACATGCTCCACGAACAACCAAATGAAAAGGACGCGCCGCAGGTCTCTGGGTCCAGCCCCTGGCAGGCACACGTTCTCCTGAGAAATCAGAGACCACGTTCATGGCTAGAGCCAGCATTACAGGGCCACGGATTTCTGTGTGTCCACGTGACTGCACGAAATTACGGCGCTGTCACCACACAGAAGAAAACGAATTTCAGTTGCCTTTACAACACAATTTCACCAAGTTCTTGTTGCAGAGAAGTTCACAGCTAAAAAAGTGCACGTAACACCATCAGAGCTTCACAATACCAAGGAAACGACTTACCCACGTAAGCAGCGCCCAACAAGGAAAACATGCCTGCCCCCCAACCTCTTGCTACTACTGGGGCCGGTGCTTGGAGGGAAGCACAGAGAGAAGCGTCGCCTTTCCGACGGAGCGCACGTACTTCTGAGTCTGCATTGGTGGTTTTATGTGGAATCGCTTTTGCAGACTCAGCTCCTGCAGTGTACTTTTATGCTGCGTGTATCTTTCACCACACACTGCAGAGTGCGTCTGCTAGGCATGTTTTATACTTGGTCGTATATTTTTATGCTACAGTAACTTTTACAGACTCTAAAGACTTAAGATAGGAGCGCAGCACAGGGTCCGAGTGGAGCGCGGCACGCGTGGGTTCTGCAGGGACACGGCTGGGTCCCACGTCACCTGGGGGCGCGATGCTGGGGTGTCCGCGCACCCGTGGGGTGAGGGTGCCACAGGCGAACTCTTCTGCCACGGCAGTCAACTCAGTGTGCTCTAGTTTTCGGCTAAGCTGCAGTGTAGTGACGTCATAGCTCCAGTCAGACCTGTCCTTCAGGACCGTCATCGAGCCAGCAAAGAAACCACACGAGTGCATGAAGCAGTCAGTTCAGCGGGTCTCCCCTGCTGTGAGAGGACCGACACGCCCACGATCCTGAAGGTGTACAGGGACGCTACCAAGGGTGTAGGCTCCCCCCGGTTCATGAACACAGCTCGGTGACAAGCGAGTGGAAACAGGAAGTGAGCACACCACCGGCGAGGGTGCTCTGCTGGCGCTGACAGCAGCTGACACCCCGGACACTGAGCGTCCCACATCGCCTCCCTCCCGCCGTCTTCACACCCTCCGAAGCACACACACAACATCACGGTCAGTGGAACGAATCGGACGTCATCTCCCCACGATGGGCGCGAGGAACCCAGATCATCTCGTCAGCACTTACGAAGCACTTCACCAGAAGGTAACAGGGACAGAGAAGTCAGCAGAACAAAACAAGTCGGGAACATGCCACTGCAAGTAATCCCTCAATTCCTAACAAGGGGGACTGTGCATTCTACATCGAGAGCTGCATGAACCATAACTGATCTTCCTACATGGCATCCCCTGGAGCCACCGTTCCGGAGAGCCTCGACCACATGCCAGGCATGAGCTTTCTTCCTCATTACTTCGGCTTAAGAAGTCCGAACGTGAAATGAGAATAGTCACTTGTCAGTTTTGACAGGACGACATGCAGCCAAGCTTTGGCCGGGAAACCCTTGCTTTTCCGCTAGTGGGCTGACCCTGCTTGCACAGCCGACTCCGACTTGCGACTCCACTCCAACAACATGACACACGAGCAGGAATAAACAAGGGACTGCTTGCAGCGAGAAGCTGGTGCACAGAACCGGCAACTTCCTGAGGGGAGACAATGCCATACACCGACGGGCCAAGACCCGAGATGCACAGAGAGAATGAGGAACCCAACCCACAGCGGGCGGGAAGAGCAAACAGGCGCTGCTCCCGAGAGGACACGCGCAGGGCCAGCGCACGGGAAAGGCTCACCGTCACTCACTCCCCGAGAGGCGAAGCAGAACCACAGCCCCACCCCGACAGGAGAGGACGGAGCGCAGCGAGGCCGGGGAAAGGGGCCTCCGGCCCGGCCTGTCCAGCCCCAGGCGTCTCCCGCAGGAGGCCCTCGTTACAAGGCAGAGGGCAGGGCAGGAAAAGCGTGTGGACAGCACGGAGCACGGCCCGTCTGTGGCAACACGGGGGCGCGGGAGGCCTGCCCCACGGCACGCAGGAGGAGGAAGGCCGGCGCGGGGTGATTTCACTCGCGGCCACACGAGGAAACAAGAGCCAGCGCCAGAAGCAAAACCCAGAAAGCGGCTGTGGCAGGGGCTGGAGGCGGGACGGGGCCAGGCTGCCCCCCGAGGGCCACGCGCCCCGCCAGGGCCTGTCCCTCGCTCAGTGCTGGGGGCAGCGCCCCCCCCCCCCGAGGAAGCCTGAGCGGGACACCGGGGGCCGCTGCGGGGTGGCCCCGCGGGGGTGACGGCCGGGGCAGGGGCCAGGAATTCTGCAGCCGTGTGGGCGCGTCCAGGGAGGTTTCCGCGGTCTGAAGGCCCGGCCTGGCGGGAGCCTGCCCGCTGGGGCTTCCTCAGCGTGGCGCACGGTCCCGCAGCTCCTACCTGCCAAAGCAGTACTGACCGGGCTGAGTCGTGAGAGGGAAATGTCAGAGGGGAAGCTCAGAGCGGAGGGAGGAGCCGCCGGCGGGCTGGGCGTTCCCGCGAGAGAGAGCGGGCTCCGAGGAGGGCAGGCCCGCGACAATGGGGACTCCGCAGCGGTTACCGTGCGCCGGCAGACGCCTCGTGTTCGCCTGTGGCGCGTACAGGGCAAAGTCTACCTGGCTGGGGCAGAAGAAACTCCCCAAGCTCCACGTGAAGGGTCTGTGCCCACTGCGGCGACCCGGCTTATCAAGAACCTCGAGCGCCCCCTTTTGTACTGCCCGGAGAATCGCCCTCAGTGGGACTGGCCGAGCCTGACCTTACCCCCGGGGGGGGGGGGGGTTTGGCCAGCCCTCACACAGCAGCTTGTCTGAGGGTTTGTCTTTCCCCCATTGAAACCAGTCTGTGTTTTGAGACCGAGACCACCGTTTTCAAATGCAAACGAGCAAGTGGAGGTCTTCGGCTTGGGGGTTCCTTCCTGCTGCTCTTATATTCCATTTCTGGCAGTGGCATTTCTGGGCCAGTAAGGGAAGCGGTTGGGGACAGATACCAGGGCCTGGAACAGATGAGATTACAGGGACAGCCAGGCTGGGCGCAGCCGGCGGAAACGTCAAGGAACCAACCAACCAACCAACCGTCACCTCTCACAGGCGCTCGGTGGTGCACAGGCTGAAGCCTTCACGTGAGCGGCCCGCTAAGGAAAAGGCCGTGGCCCGAGCCCCGAGAGAAGCTGTGGCTCCAGGGTCCCGCTCCGGGCACCCAATACAGACCAGCAAGGCGAGGGCACCACGCCCGAGGCCCCCCGCGCCCCGAGGCCCCACCCACATCTCAGAGGCGCCCCCACCGCCCCTGCCTGACGCCTCCTAGGACCCCGGAAAGCGCTCAGGCGGCCAGGACAAGGGGCCCCGCGCCAGGGCGGCGGGCACTGCCAGCAAGAGGCCAGTCTCCCGACGGGCCTGGGGGCGCCCCTGGGAGGGGCTGGAGAGGCGCGGGGCCTGCAGCCAGCCGGGAGCTCCAGGGGCGACTGGAAATGGCGAGCGACGGGCCTGGGGTGCTACGTATTTGCAGCCACGGCCCCGCCGCTCCTGGGGCGCCCTGCCCACCCCAGCGAGCGCCGGGCGGCCCCGACCCCGCCGCCTGTCTGCAAGGACCCCCGATCTCTCGTGGCGCCCCCTTC